ATCAAGACTCGGTTTATAACGTGTAGGATCCGAACCGCGTGCGCGTCAGATCTGTGAAGTGTTTATTATGATTTCATATTACAGTTAAAATATGTTTAAATATATATATAAGAAATACATTTTTAATAGATAGGAATTATAGTCCGAAATATTATTTTCTTTGTTTTAATTTTGTTAATTGTTAATATACAATTTGTTAATATACAAACAGTTGGAACACTTTCCTTTTCAGCTGATGATAAAAAATGAATGATAATAATTTACTTTAATTTAATTAAATATCTTTTGCTTGCATTATTATTATTATTATTATTCTACTAAAATCAATGTTGGTTTCTACTTTGAGATGGTGAAATGTGTGAAGATCTAGTTGTGTTGTAACTCAAGGCCGTCCTCAGAATCTAATCCCGTTCACTGAAATCAAGCCACGGCTCACATGTTATTCCAATATGCCACATATGTTTCTTGGATTCTTGATTCCCTTTCCTCTTGTGTGGTGCCGAGGGAATATTTAGTGGCAGAAAGAGGATACAAATGGGGAAGATCAACAGGTTTGACAGCTCGGGTGAGACAGTGAGATGCAAGGAAAAATACTAAAGACGACAGATTCCGAATTAAGACGTGTGTTTGTCATTCGTCACACATTTCATGACTGCTTCACGCTGAGAGAAAAGTCTATTTCAGCTGTCGTTTGCATCGTGGTGTGGAACATGTTTATTTTTTTATTTTATTTTTATTAAATGGAATCCATCTGAGCGTGGTGCTGTAGATTTGAACGTTTCCACATGTTGTTTTTTTCAAGACGTCGTTCACCTTCATCGGAAAACCATCTCTCCTCCATTTTAAGCCTGTGGCTGATCTGGAGAGTCCTAATTATTTGTTGTCGGGTTCTTTGAAAAAGACACCAGGCCCTAAATTGGACATGTGTTGTACAAACACAAATTAAACATTTAGGCCTAAGTATTTCTCCCTGGGTCCTAAGTGCATATTAGTCAGCCTATACTTATCTCAGGCCCAACGACACACCCAAATTGCAGTGTTGCTGCTGTAAAAGAAAGGCTGAGGCCCTGGAGAATGAGAACTTGAATCCTGCCGGGTAATGCCCAAAGGTTTGTCAACCACAAGGCACAATGCAAGCGTAGGTGTGTGTGTGTGTGTGTGTGCGTACAGTTCAGTGTGTGCTGTATTTACACGTGTGTTCATACATGTGGACGGTGGTTTGATCTTTGAGTTTTTGTGTGTTACAGTTAAGGAAAAACTATTGAAGACAAATACAAAACACGTAAGACAGGACACACTCTGACACGCTCAGATGTAATCCCTTTATTGAAAACATCCCAGGTGTGCATTAAAATACATTCATCTGAATAATCATAAGTTAAAGATTAAAAATAATCATTCAGACATTCAGCATATGGCAAGACAGGATTTGAACCATCACCTTTAAAGGCTTTGCAACAAAAACAGAAAAACCTTACTAAGACCAACCAGAACAAAAGATGAGATTGTGTCCTATAAAAAGGTTCAGTTTGGTATAATGAAGTAAAACTACAGCTGGTTGGCTGGAACCAAAAAGAGATGAAGAAAGGAGAGGCATATAACACAAAGAACACCGTCCTCAACGTTCATCACATCGTTTTTTCTTTGATTTTGAGTGTATGGCTGTGAGATTCAAAATGAGGATTTCAAATGGACTAATTTGACACAGTAACAACTGAAGACCTCAATGTCTGTCAGGTTAGAGTGTTTACTGTCCAATGGTTCCTGTAAAGTCAGGGAGACCAATCAGAAGGTGGAACGGCAGAATGTTGTCCAGAGCTAATAGTTCTGTATTTATTGAAATGAATGCAGAGACTTGGATGGAATAACTGACAGATCTGTGTTTTCTCAGACCCCACCCTCCCGTCCCCCTGTGCTTGTGTGCATGTGTACGGGTGTGTTTGGTGTTTGTATGTGTTTGGACCTTGGAAACGTCTTGATATCCTTCTTTTACCTTGAGCAGAGAATAACAAGATGACACTCTCCCTCTCCTCTGCCCTCCCTCCTTCACCGTTCGGGGTAAACTCTTGTCTCCCCACCACCTGCTCCCCACCATCCCACCACAAATGCCAGGGTGCCTCCACACTTAAGTACACACACACCGACTCCTCCATCCTCTTCACTTTGCATCTCCACAGTCATTATTTGGACATCATCTTTGTTCTGCACCAGGGTGTGTCATGTTTAGGATTATAAAAGATCAATTTTATTGTGTGTGCCTTAAGCATCTTAAGTTCATTGGGTTCGTCTTCTCTGGATCCACTCTCTCACTCCTTTTCGTTTATCTGTGAGTCATGGCATGTGTCAGTATCTGGTCATGTCTGTAGTATTATTACTAACAAATCTACCAGTGAGGTTTTAGCACCCTCGTTGGTTTGTGCAAAGCCACACAAAGATACTCACCGGTGACATACCTGAGAAAGCAGCAGGGGTTGGCTCGACTCCTTGACGATTTAAGTCAATGTTGTCAGTAAGGATTTCAAA